ATCTATTTGCCTGACAGTCCTTATCGGTGTGCTGGCTGTTGAAATGAATGGCAATAAGACTCTAGACGGATATGCGCGGATATAACTAGCCTGTGAAACAGGAGCCTGGCCAAACGCAACCGTCGCAGGCCCCGGACAGGGGCCTTAGCGGCACCCGATTACATTACGCGCAGGTCCTCTTCACTGTCATCCACGCAGCCGGTCGTTAAAAGAGATTTGTTGATAGAGGCCGGTGGCACATACAAGATGCCAAGAGGTTGATGTGCCATGGAGCAGCTAAAGTACACGCGACGAGAAAAACACTCTAAACAACTAGCTCGCAGCATTGTAGTAAGTGAGCGCGTGAACATAAAACATGTAGAAAAATCCGAACCATGCACTGTGTGCATCACAAGGCCTCACTTTCAATTGATAGGGGGAGAGGATGATTTATTTACTGAAAGGTAGAGAGGTATTAGACTGGTACTACAGTTTCCTCTGACCTGCCATTCTACTTAGAATTGCATGCATCCTTACGTCGGGGCCTAAGACAATTCATGTGCAGTGGGAAGTCCTTGCGTGGAATTACGGTGGTTAGCACACCGGTGCTTTACTCACTTTCTGTCCCTCAAGTGCTGTGATTGGTACCTCGATCTGTCCCATGCGCAATTAACCTGTTCCGTGGCGATCGTTCGCACCTTTCATATACACCATAGAAACACACGCAAGTGCCTCTGTTATGCCGACCAGGTCACACAGAGGTTGCAGAACTACCGAACTACATGCGCGCAAACACACACACACACACACACACACACACACACACACACACACACACACACACACACACACACACACACACACACGCATGCACGCACGCACACACACACACAGACACGCCGCGCGCACACACACAGACACACACACATACACACAAACGCAGCAGCCGCAGCCGGGATTTGATCCCACGACCTGTGTGTCAGCAGCCGAGTACCTTAGCCCTCAATGGCGGGGTATGCATGTGGTCAGAGTGGAACTTGTGCATGAAGTTAGGGGAAGCATGCGTTCGAAGTTAGTGAAATTCACAGTGTTCCTCTCGCGAGCAAGACAGTGGTGGTACATAAATGGTGTGTCTAGCTCTGGTGTAGAGTGTTAATGGCGCCTCGGAACGCTTTATGGGAATGGCCAGAAAACACTGCCGATTGGAAGTTGAGGCTCCCGAGAACACGCGAGCTAAATAATACAGCGCAGCACCTTGCCTTAAATTTAGAATAATTTCTCAAAGTTAGCTAAATGTCGTTTTTTTCTTGTGTTTACAAACAATGCAACATGCTCAAAAATTGCTGTACTGGAGGAACAAGTATCGCCATTCGCTGATTTCAGTATTGCATGCTCGGGAGTTTCTGGAACCACCACAGGAAGCCATGACTTATCTGTGCGTGCAAGCGCCATCGCACTGAAAAGCCGCGCGTTCGGAGAAAAAAACAACATAATTAAGTCAGGAGCCGAGTGTAATGTGTTTACTTTCCCCATACCATCTCTCTCTTTTAGTTTTCAAAGGCTTTGCTGGAAGAAGAACAAAACTAAAAGACTTCATTGCCGCTAAAACAGGGCAACGCCGCATGGTCGGGTCCTTATTCCAAGGCACCGCTGGCTCTCACCATCCTTTCAGCCCTCCTGACTAGCCTCCGCTGATCCTCAAGGGCTGGGCTGGACAGCATTGCCTTCCACATCTCTCTGCTGTTGTCCCTTTTCTGTTTTTCGTTGTGTGCCGTATACACTCACGCGTTATGTAGTAGAGTTGGTGTGCTTACACACCATGGATTATATGTCCCTGTATGATGTGTGGTAGCACGCATGCAATCTGTGGATGGTTATGTACGTGTTATTTTGGAGTCGGCGTAACGTCGCAGAATCCATGGCCCAAAGGTTCTTGTGTGGTGGTGGGTAATGTCTCCCAAATCTCTTTATTATTGTAGGATCCCTTTCTAACTGGGATCGATGGGTGTCGGGTCCTCCACGGTGTTCCCATTGGCAGCTCGGCAATTAGTGAAACCTTGAGCCACCTAATCCGCATAGAGGTTCCCAACAACAGCCTCGTGTCCCGGGGCTCAAGGGATTTTCTGGGCATAGCGTAGGTCCAGCTGACCGCTATTTTCGGGGAGTATCTGGTGTGCCTTGGCACCGATTTTTAAAGACGGTAGTCTTTCTTGGGGTCCTTCGACGCCAGAATATTGGCCTGCCTGCCTGCCTGTCTGTCTGTCTGTCTGTCTGTCTGTCTGTCTGTCTGTCTGTCTGTCTGTCTGTCTGTCTGTCTGTCTGTCTGTCTGTCTGTCTGTCTGTCTGTCTGTCTGTACATTTGTCTCTTTGTCCGCCCTTAACGGTACCCCAAACGTCACCAAAGTGGCCAAACGATACTCTTAACGGCCGACCCCATCCGCAGCGCCCACCAATATTGCTCAAGATTCAGCGTTCATACTTTTGTGATTATCAGTTAAAAAGCAATTATTACGCATATCGAGGCACCATAACAACACGTCGATATTCTGTATGTGTGCCTCTTACTAGACAAAGCATACATAATTAATTATAAGGACCGTAGCGTTTATCCCGTTACGCTGAGCAGGCAACGCTTGCACGAAAAGGCAAGTGTTTCCAACGCTTTGCTAAGACGACACGCTGGTGGCACCTACCCGCCACAGGGCGCGTGCCCTTCGTTTTCCAAAATAACGGCTAGATAGCGCTCATGTCTCACGTGTGACGTGACTTGATGCGCTCGTTCACCTCCGCTGCATGCTTGAGGCACTCTTACGCAGCGCCTCCAGAATACCATTCACCGATGTTCTTGTGCAAAACATCAAATAAACGTTTTGTTCATTCTCTCCAGATGCAAAACTTTCGTAGTTTGGCGCCATTTGCAGTGTAACATGCAGATACGGGACCAATTCTTTTTTTTTGTGATAATTTCTACATGCGGCCTGAGAATCTCTGATAATAGTCAGCGCAGTGTTGCACTCCATACCTCCCCTTATATCCATGGCAATGACAATCTCTTGAGCTTCTATGATGGTTGCATGAGAAACCAAAGCACAGGCTGTGATCTTACCGCTCCTGTTTACTACAACAACTACCATATTTTTTTTGTCGGCCCAGTATGGCGAAGCATCCGTGAATCTCGAAATATTCGAGAACCTTGTTGTTTTGTCGATGTATGCCGCTTGAGCTTTTCTCCACCCTGAGTGTAATGTGGGATTCACGTTTTGCGGTATTGGTGATACTCTATACAAATCTCTGATCTGGAATGAGAGGAGAGAAAAAAACAAATTGCCATGCCTGACAGATCTTTGTAGGTTTGCTCGTTCTAGATGAGTTCAAGAAATTTTCGGGTGGTCGATTCTTAAGGCAACAACAATCTTCACTGAATACATTCCGTGGCTGTACTTGAAAAATTGTTTCAAGGCTTTTTTATCATGTCTTGGTATATGAGTGCAGGGCCCGCTTTACCTAGACTCTGGGCGTCACCATGCAGGGCTGCTTATGCTTGTCAGCTCCAAAGGGTCCCCACCTTGTGAGGGTCCATTCGACATAGGCACAATCCAGCACTTCATGCGGCGCATGATTGCATTGCTTTGCATATAATTGGAAGGTATCAACTGTTACTTCCTTACCTATCCTCACACTATCTTCCCGATCTCACAATTGTTCTTCTCCGCCCTACGCGACCTTAATGGCAGGTGAACTTGTGAACGCCTTCCTGAGCGTTCTCTTTCCTAATGACGATGATTAAAGCCCACGTTTTCTTTGTACATATCATTCCCTTACCTTCAGCGTCTATATGAACTGCTTGCGAACAGGTAGTGACTTTGTACCGAAGACGTGTCCCATCGATTGTGGGGCGTAAGATATACCCCTGCATATAGTGCTTCCTAGTAAATATGTTGAGGGAATATATGTGTAGACCACCACTACGGCGTCTCTCACAACCTATGTCCATTTTGGTGATTCAACTACGCTCGTGTACACACCCATGAGTTAGCTACTGAATCACCCATCTTTGTTCCGATAATTTATTTCCAGGTAAGACAACTATGAAAAAATAAGAATGGACACACGATGCTTACAGAACACTCATTTCCTCTATCTATATTTCCAACGACTATAACATGGGTTTGAATAATGTAGATTGGGAGGAACATTACCCGAGTGCGAATTTTAAACAGTCTTGATTTTCATTCCTTACGATCTCTATAGAGTTCCGATGTACAATCTTTTAATCCTCATGTCAATACACAGGCGCGCGGGTACGCGCGACGTTTGTAAAATCAATGAAATGACAATGTACGCCTCTGATTTCAACTTCAGCATAAAACGAAACATCTGCTACACCGAATATTTACATTTAATCAGCAACAAATCCTCAGTTATTGCACACACTCTGAAGTTATCGCACAGACAGGACTTACTAGCACCTTAAAATGTTTGGCAAACAAAAGTTCTGCTAACCACTATGGGTCGAAAGTCATCTATCGCGAGAGATAAGAGCAACTGATAAAACATTCACTTACGTTTCACCAAGAACGCACTCGCGGTACTGACTAGAAGTTTTATTCGGGGTCCAAAGCCCGTAGCGTTTGTAGGTTGTGCTATTCTGCAACCTTACTCGATGAGAACAATGGCAGCCGCTGCCATATGTCAATACCCCATCATTGCTTCTTGATTTTAAACAAATGCCGCTTACACACCAAGGAAGGAATACAACGCCGTCATTCTGACCACCGTTTTGACTAGGATGAGCAGAGCCAACAATTGTGTAGAAAAACAAAACAGTAAAAGAGCTATTGAGAAAGACGCAATAGTCTAGAACTTTTTTTTTTTTTCAAGCGGTAACTTATATATGGGGCTTCAGGTAAAGATATTATTGACAATTCTCAGCTTCCTTTAACCATTACCGCGCGCAGATAACGCCCCTGATGATTAGTTAAGATACGTGGCTGGAGAAATTGTCTACTGAAAAAAAAAAAAACTACCGCAGGTCAGACGATATCATCGTTCCCCGCGCATTTCGACATATATAAGCGGCTCCCTGTATAAACACACAGAAATCAAGCCTCTGAACTACAGCTTGCGTTACAAGTTTTTTCAGCAACAAAACCTATGGAATGGTGCAATGCATGCGGAAATACTTTTTATCAGTAGTAAAGAAGATGGAGCCATTATCTGAAGTCACTAGTTCTTGAGGTTCGAGATGCGCGTTGGACAAACGAAAAATTAAGCAAAGCGGGGTGTAAAGCGGCGAGAACTTCATGGCTCGTTGTCGTTCCTGTTCCTTTGCTGCACTTTACGGGGGTCTTCGGGTGTCCATACTTTGGCTACCATGACGTTGCCAGTGGGACCCTGCTTTTCCGAAGACCAGGACAACGAGTGTCCAGCCAGCGGAAGGTAAGATCCATTCATCAGGCCTGAAAAATTGAAGCAACAAAGGGAGGTGATGATTATGCATCTGCAGGAAGCTTCTCGCGAAATTTCACTGTCGCACATGACGAATCTCGCACATGGCTTTCTACAATTAGATCGATTGGACTTGTTGCATAAGCCATCTTTCAAGAACTTCGATACCTTTTTACGGCTAACTGCCTAGATTTTGTCATCTATGCCGACTTTCGGATGGTAAAATTGTTCATTCCGCCACCGACGCAACACTTTTACTGTTTACTATCGGCATGACTTTGCATCACTCATTTAACCATGAGTCTGAGGCTTGCAAAACATTGGTGCTGTGAAGACTGATGTTATTAGCTTTCGAATGACTGCAATGCGAGGGTATATATGTTTGAATTTGGCTCATGGAAATAAATGATTTGAACCGGAGTGACGTAAGGCTGCTTTCATTTTTGGCAATTTGTCCTTCGTAAGTGCCACACACTGTAGACCTTGATCAAGAGCGCTACCACAAAACTTTTTTATAGGGTACGAAGGGGAGGAAACTAATTGGCCTAAATGTTGTTAACATTGATTAAAATTATTGCTTGTTTAACGTTCTTGAGCTTTATGTTCATTTGCAAATCAACGTATGCAGTGTTCACGTAACCACGGAAATACTCAGTGGTTCTGCTGTTCGAAGGAATTGGTCAGGATAACTTGCTTGTAAGACAAAAACTCGCAAGATAAGAATACCATCATTGATGGACTCTTTTCCATGGCTGTTTGCAATACCAAGCATCGAATTCTCAGTGGATGGCATTATCAGAAAGAGAGACATGTTCATCCAAGCTGCTCAACAACTAGCGCTTTATCAGATACACATGCGGTATCCAGGGTACATACACATTTATACAGATGGCTCAAGTACTACAACGTCTTCAACATCGGCATTTATCATACCACAGCTCAATATTCAGGAATCGTTTAAATTATGTCGCATGACGTCATCTACTACATCTGAGCTCTTCGCTATTCTGTATGCTCTAAAGTTTATAAACTCGGTAGCAGACGCAAGAAAATGGGTACTTTTCAGTGACTCACAGGCCGCATTAAGATCACTTTCCAGTACAAACACGACAGTAATAAAAGATAGTATAACATACGAAACGCTGAAAGAGCTCACCAAAGCAAAGAAGGCGCAACATGAGATCAAATTCCAGTGGATACCTGGCCATTGCAACATTCCTGGAAACACAGCTGCCGATGAAGCAGCACGACAAGCACATCGTAAAGACGTTACTGTTTCTTTACCAATTTCGAAAAATGAATTGCGTAGTATTATAAAAAATACAACTTTCAGAATGAGCAAAACTGCTTTGTTTAACCAAAGTACAAAGAGCTGCGATTTATATCACATCGATCCATTTATTGAATTCAAAATTACGCTGGCATTAGATAGAAGTATGGAAACTCTAATTCACCGATTGAGGCTAGGCACCGCATACACAAAACATTTTTTGCACAGAATCGGCAGAGCTGAAACTCCCGAATGCGAATGTGGATTTATAGATGAAGACGTATGTCACCTTCTCATAGACTGTCCACATCATGATACGCCGAGACGCCGTCTTAAGTCCGAACTGTTGGCATTAGACCACAAACCATTTAACATGAAGAAACTTCTGGGCCCGTGGCCTACTGGTGTTTTACAGTCACACGCTTTAAAAGCATTAACGCGTTTTTTACAAGACAGCGGGATTGCTGACAAGTATTAAGAAATAACGTACTTTAATTTGTAACACATGTACTTATTATGTACAGTATCGTGTGACACGCACCATGTGTGTGTTGTGAAATGAATGACTTCTCGACTATTATGTACACACGAGCGAATTCATCTTTATAAGGATCAGACGTGTGCTCTGCTGTTTTGTGCTGGTGGACCGAACAGTAACGAGGGACATTATCAGAGACTTCATTAATTGACTTTTGAACATTTCCTTACCAGTATGTTGTGATATGTGCGTATAAGTGTGTCTTTGCATATCTGTTCCCCAGTTTTCTATTTTCCATGCACTGCATTGTATGTTTTGCTTCAAAGTACGTGTTCAAGTTTCACTCAACGGCTAAGGAGTAGCCGGCGTCATAATGGTGCGCCAACATCTCCTTATATATCATATCAATAAAAAAAATACCATCATTGATATTTAATAATTTTTATATACCTATTCATTATTATTTTTTAGTTTCGCAACAACGGGCGGAATATCGAAATCGCTAGATCCTGCGAAACTTAGCTTTTATTTCTCTCAGAAATATCTGCTAACATTAGATCAAGTTGGCCGACTTATAACTCAGTCTTCCTTTGGTTTTAAAATAATAATAATAATAATAATAATAATAATAATAATAATAATAATAATAATATTAACGATTGTGAGTGGTGTTCCCTGAAAGCAGTGCCGTCGTGAAGTCGGCAATGGGCTTGCGCTTAGCAATGCGCTCGAACTTTAGGAACACTTGGCCATCCTCCAATCGGCTCTCGAGAATTTGTTCGGGCTGTAATTCTTTGAACGTGCTGGGTGAGGGTGACTCCTGGTCTACACTGTCCTGGTCACCTGTAAGCAGCTGGTCTAGCTTACTGCAAGACCGTTCATGGCTGCCACCATCATGGGACCCAGATGTGCTGGTGATGCTTCTTGGCTCGGCGGCGCCCGTTTCTCCTCTGTAACCTGCTTTCGGGAGTGTGGCAATGTAGGGGAATCTAATTGGCTTGGCCATCGCTGCCACCACTTGTTCTCATGTCATTGGTGTGCACACCTGAATCCATTGGGGCTGGGCAACTCGAGACGCCTGTGCGTTCCACGACTCTTCGACCGGCGGAGGTGGTACCGTCTACTTACAAGCTTATTCGTAAAAACAGAGAGTCATGGGGGGTGGAGTGGCTATCACCATAAAAAACAATGTCGCATATACTGCTTTGGATGGTATTGATAACCACGAAAGTGTGTGGTGCAGAATTATATTTATTGGCAAAAGCATATTTCTAAGTGGCATTTATCGACCCCCGAATGCGTCACCAGAATTCTTAGAAGTCATTCAGGACTATCTTGCAGACAATACTAATTTCCGGACACGAATATTTCTTACAGGATATTTTAATCTACAAGGTAAAAACTGGCTTGATTTTACTCATGATGGCAAAGGAATCCCGAAGTACAAAATGGGGAGGGGGGGGGTTAGAAACAGTGGGTAACGATTTAGAGTACAGGGTACACAATTATGGGAAAGCTTAAAGCTGTCCGCAATAATTATATACGTATTGCGATGTCAAGCTCACTGCTGGTTTAAGAGAATTTTATTTCCAGATTTGTCTTACATAGCTTATGTGCATACTGCTCACGATTACGTTTGACTTCTCCTTTCAACAACTAGTCCGTGAGGTTACAAGATACCACAGCTCATCTTCCTCTCTCCTTGATTTGGCTCTCGTTAGCACCTCATTTCAAGGCTGTTCCGTCAGTGCAGACAAAAGAATATCTTATCACAAGTTGCTAGCTCTATCTTGCCCTGTTTCAGTTACGCGTTCTTTTACTAAACCATCGGATACTTTCGTCAGACATAACACGCATGCGGTTGATAACACCATTTTAGACTATTTGGAATCACGCTTTGATTATTTTTGCCAAATTAAAGATGTCAATGAAATGTGGTCAGGTTTTAAAGGAATCGTTCTCTTTTGCGAGCAACATTATGTTCCGTTGAAAAAGAAACGCACTAACAGAGAATATTCGTGGTTCACGAGAAAAATGATTCACTTAAAACGGAAAATTAAGCGGTGGCGCAAGCGTGGAAACACGAGTGACCTTTCAAGCCTTACGTCTAACCTGCGACTGCTAATTCGATACGAAAAAGAGAGATTTTTTTTTCAGTTTCTCTGCCGTCATTCATGACGAATGAACCTCAGAAATGTTGGCGGTATCTCTCAAAAGATAACCAGGGTATTTCAGAAGTCAGAGTTGCGGGAGAAAGTATTACTGATTCGGCTGCCATCGCCAACAAATTTAACACATTCTTCCAGACCATTTTTATGTGGATAGCTACGCATGCTCAGTTGCGGTCTTACAATTGCTATTGCCTGATGGCAGAAGTAGAAATTACAGAGGACGGCGTTGTTTGCCTTTTGCTGCGAACTAAATGTATAGAGATCACTTGGGCCTCATGAGCTACCCCTTACTTTTTTGAATGATTATGCTGAAGGGGTGGCAAAATGTTTATGTCGAATTTATACTACATCGTTAAATACTGCAGTTATTCCTGATGATTGGCGCTCCGCAAAAATAGTGCCGGTATTGAAGAACGGCTCTTGCCTTCGAAATTAACTACTACAGGCCCGTCTTTTTAACAAGCACTCGTAAGTTATTCCAGCACATTACATTTAGGCTATCATTATTTACTTAGAAAATAATAAATTTATCTATGCACATCCAGCATGGATTTAGATCCGTTTTATCTACGGTCACCCAACTGGCTGAAATAACTCATGAGTTAATCAGCGTGCACGCTCAATCTAAAAAGCCAGACCGAATGCCCTATTTTTGGACTTCTCCAAGGCATTTGGCGTTGTTCCTCATCAGGATCTAGTAACAGAATGACTCGCTATAGGAATTGATTGGAAGGTTGTAACATGGATCGAATGCTATTTGTAACATAGAAGACAGTATGTCACCATTAATGGGTGTGTTTCAAATGAGTTGAAGGTGTACTACGGTGTTCCGCTAAGGCTGAGTCCTTGGCCACTTCTTTTTTAGTTCATATAAATGACATTCATCTCTGTGAGAAGCTACCGATCCTAATTATGCTATTTGCGGAATGACTGCGCAGTATACACAGCCTATAAATAATGAAGAGGAGCCCAAATTAAACTAAACAACGCTTTACAATCGATTTATTCATGGTGCTTAAAGTGGGGACTAAAACTAAATCCTTCAAAAACTAATTTAATTACGTTTACCAAAAAAAGAAGCCTCTACAATTACATACTCTTTGGGAAATACTACAATCACTAGAACAGTTCATGTTAAGTATTTAGGTGTCACATTCACGAGTAATCTCTACTGGGAACCGCATGTTGAGAAGGTATGTAGGGGGGCACTAAAGAAATTGTCCTTTTCAAAGAGAAAACTACGAAATGCTTCTCCTATGGTTAAAGTCAATGCGTACAAAGCACTAGTGCGACCAAAGTTGGAGTATGCCGACGTTACTTGGAGCCCTTGGCAGCAGTACTTGATTAAAAAGTTGAACGAGTTCATTATTTCGCTTTGCGTTTCAAATAATCCGTGTACTCATGGCATTCTAGTGTAACTTATTTATGTAATAAGGCAAGCCTACAAAAACTTGAGCAGCGCCGGATAGCAGCTTTATCACGAGACTTTAAATTATCGTGGGAGTATTACCTTCAACATCCTTCAAAACTTTCAGCCAGGACGAATCACAGCAAAGCTTTTACAAAACCAGTTAGCCACATTAATGTCCACAAATTCGCTCTATTTCCTGATGCGATTACTTGTTAGAATAACTTTTCCGAAGAAGTTGTAAACTCTTGGTCGTTGGCTTCATTTACAGAATATATTGGAAATAATACTTTTTCTTGATGTATGTGGCGTATATGTATTTGTATATATAAGTATAAATGTGTAGGTGTGTATATACTGCTGAGTGCTATGTCTTTCGACTTGCTAATTTGCTATGTATTACTTTTTCAGCTGTGCCAAGATATGCTGCGCATTTGTATATATTTTTTGTATTCACTCCTGCATGGGCTCGTGAAGTGCCTGCGTTATCTGTAAATAATAATAATAATAATAATAATAATAATAATAATAATAATAATAATAATAATAATAATAATAATAATAATAATAATAATAATAATAATAATAATAATAATAATAATAATAATAATAATAATATAATAATAATAATAATAATAATAATAATAATAATAATATTAACTGTGTTTTTAGGTGTCACGACGAAATATGATTTAACGTGCACGAACATTGCACTATACACGAGATACACACATTGGTCGACGCCGGCGGCGAGGAAGAGCATGCAACATATCCTGATGACTTGGCTGAGTGACACTTGGTGACTGACCCTTTTAATTTAAGAGATGCTCAGGCGGAACAATAACAGGCCTTTTAGGCTAGGCTAACCCCGCCTTTGCAACACCACCACCACCACCACCACGTCTAAGCGCCAACACGTTGTGAACACTGATTGAGTAAGCGATTCAGGCGGTGGCGGCACGAATGATAGACCTTGAGCCAGTGTTCGTATTCGCACATGCGCCATACAAGTGTTTTGCCGAAGCTCTTCCACCTGCATTGACAATCAGGTTTACGCAACAAGGATTTTCCAAGATTTGGTGCACGGGGAGAAGTAGCCACATGGCTTTGACACCCTGGGAGCTTCAGGACCATGTATGTGTGGGCAGTAACTTCACTACTGTGCCTCAAGAAGAGGTTCCACAGGAAGGAAGCAGATAAGAACTCCTGGTGACACCTCCCCCCCATATTTTATTCCTACACTCGAATGTGTTCTTTCTGCATCCGTTTTATCCAATTTGACCCAACCGTCTCTTCTCTACACTAGTTGAAAACGTAATAAACTTAATTATTGCTGTCGTAATTTATGCATCTACTCATGTAAAGATGTCTTCCGCCACAGCAAAAATAAAAATGAGGGCCTCGTGAAGATTTATCTTTTTTCTTATATTTAAGGATGATCAGACCTATTTCTTGAAACACCCTGCGGGTATGTTCACCTTGTCGTTTATTTTTCATCTTGCCAGTAAGCGAATCACAATGCCTAAGCGCCGCACTTGCCTTTGTTGCACTGCACGATGACCTTTTTGGCCTGCTGCTCCTGCAGCTGCTGCTGCAGCGTGTCCGCTGGGTGACGTCCCGAATCGACGAGCTCTGTGAGAAAGCCGATGTAGCCGATGGCAAGTCGCAGCGTGTCGACCTTGGAGAGGCGCTTCTCGTACGGCAGCGTCGGAATGTGCGCCCGGAGCCCGTCGAACGCGTCGTTGATGGACTGCATTCGACGGCGCTCGCGCATATTGGCCGCCTGCCGCTGATGGGCGGCCTGCTGGGCCACACCGCAGCGGTGCTGCGCGCTGCTGCCCCGCTTGCGAGACCTCCGCGGCCGGCAGCACTCGTCGTTCTCCTGGTCCGGCGAGCTCTGCAGCAGTCGCACACCACCCAGGCTCTCCAGGTGCTGCAGAAATCCCCGGCTCAAGTCGAATTGGTCCATGTCGTGGCTCTAGCGCCTCTTCCTCGTCTCCTCAGCTGCTTTGCACTGGGCTTTCTCGGTTTCTTTTTGTGACAGGTTCACACTCCTGACCTGGAAGACCAAGGGGACGGTGTCATTCGCAAGCCAAGCAGGACAGTGGACGATTTGAATGAACCTTGAACTGATCAATAGGGCTTGATATAAAAGAATTTTCCTCGAGAAAGACCTGCGTCCAAATATAAGTTTAAATGCCGCATTTAACGACAGCCCGTGTTTGATCGCAAGTTACCAGTGTATTTTGTTGGTTAGCCCCACTTTAACGGGTACAGCACCAACAGGAAGCACATAGGCAGTGAGGGCAATATTGCAGCTCGTCTAGGTTTAAAAAGAGAAAGAACTGCAGTCAAAAGTAGGCAGAATCAGCCACGTCATTTATTCTTAGCCTCAAGCGTGTAGCGAAATGGAAGAAAAGTTGTTTGTTAAATGCGTTTTCGATTAACGGTAATGAAACAATATTGTTTTTGAATAATAACATGCACAAATTACGCTCAATTATCTTCTTGATTCGTACTCAAATTGCAAGTGTCAAATAAATTAGTTATTACAAGTTTAGAAGGCTTGCACGTATGTAATCACCAGTATGTGGTTCTTACCACAGGTATTTTAAAGCACAGCAAATCCATGTGAAATTACTAAAGTGAGAGAGAAAGAGATGAGGTGTGGGAAGGCAGGGAAGTTAACCGGAGAGCAAGTATCTGGCTTGCTACCCAGCTCTGGGCACCATAAAGACAGCCCCGCCTCGTGCAATGAGACATTGTTGAAGATGAGCAATCACATTTAGTTTTGCTGTGCATCTTTGTTTCTTTGAAGTTTACGTTTACGCAAGAGAAGATGTGCTCAGAATTATTATTAGCTAGAGCGCAGCTTCAATGCCATGAATCATCAGCAGCGTGCTAGCTCTGCATTTGTGTGCATGAACGCAAGTTATTATCACGCGTATTGCAGTCACACAACGGTCCCCGCACTGCATGCCAGTGACACGTTCGAGTGTTTCGATGTGCACGCGCTTCTTAAAGGGGCCCTGTGACGCCTTTTCTTCTGCATGCTTCGCAGAGGAGTTTTAAATGCGAAGCGTTTCTTAGCGAACTTCAGCAACTTTGAGCGTAAATATCTATCTAGCCGCCTACCACTTTCAACTCTCCTGGCTGTTTCGTAAATGGTATCAATACCAAATTTAGTATTGCATTACATGAATGTATGAAGAGTATAACTGCCTAGTCATAGCAAGACTATTATTAAAGTTATGTCATGAATGTCATTATTTACATTTCATGGTCTTGCTACTCTTGTGGTGATTTCGTTCACATGACATGTTGCAAAATTGCTATGGTATGACATGACTGCATGGCGAACACAAGTGACAGACCAGTCCTAACGTGAAAATTATGCCATGCATGTCATGTAAGTAATGAGTCATGACTACACGCCATGCTCATGGTACGCTCGCAGTCGTTTCACTAGTTTCACTTATACCAGATTTGGTCTTACGGAACCTGTATGCATGACGAAGGTATGTGACTGGTGCAAACATGGTAATCATGAGATGCTTGTCATGTAACATCGCTACATGCCACACTCATGATGCACTCGCCGCCATTTCGCTAGTTGCACATATACCAAGTTTTGTGTTACGGGACGTGAATGTATGACGAAGGTATGTGACTGGTGCAAACATGATTATCAGAAGATGCGTGTCATGTAACAACATGACCACATCCCACGCTCATGATGTGCTCGTGGCCGTTTTACTAACTTCATATATACCTAATTTGGTATTGCATGACGTGAATAGACGACGAAGGAAAATTACACATCTGAACATGATAATCATGATATGCGTGTCATGTAAAACATGACTACATTCTACGCTCATAGAGTGCTCGTGGCCCAGTCACTGGTTACCCATTTGGTGTCACGTGACGTGAACTGACGACGAATGTAAATGACACCTCCAAACATGATAATCATGACATACGTGTCATTTAAAACTGAACTACATGCTATGCTCATAGCACGCTCGCGGCCATTTTACAGCTCCACATATACTAAGCTTGGTATCAGGTGACGTGAATAGGTTATGAAGGTAAATGATACGTCCAAACGTGATAATCATCACAGGAAAGTCATGTACGCATTGCAATAGGAGGGAAAGGTGGGCTAGTTTGTAATTCATGATTGTTCAGCGAACTGGGAGCGTGGGGTTAAACAGACATAACGCAAAGAGAAGGCACACAGCACGAGCGCTCAGCTAACAGAGTTGAGCACTCGTGCTGTGTGCCTCCTCATTGCTTTGTGTCTGTGTTTACCCCCGCGTTCCCAGTTCGCTGAACAAGTCACATACGACATAATTTACCTCCACTTTGCCACATTGTGCTGAGTTTAAAGCGACATATCAACATTCAACCTTCTTTATTCGTGCTTCGCATATAATCGATTCGCAGCGTGGGATCTACCAATTTTTGTAGTGGTGAATACCGAGATGAACGGAAAAAGAATATATTGAATTAGGTACATGGCAGTGAAAGTTATTAGCCTTCAAACTTTGAAACCCCAGCAGACGACGAGAAAAAAGTTGGCAGATCCCACGTACAGCGAAATCGGTGATATGCGAAGCGCGAATGAGAAATGTTGATATGTCACTTTAAAATGAGCACAACATTACGGGGTGTGGAGGTAAGTGATGCCGTGCATGACTTCCGTGTCATGACTATCATGCTTAGATGTGTCGTTCATCTTCGTCATCTATTCACGTCACGTGACACGAAATTTAGTATATGTGGAGCTAGCGAAACGACCTCGAGCACCCTATTACCGTGGTATGTTGTCATGTTCTTACATTACACGCATGTCAGGAATATCATGTTTGCATCAGTCATATATTTTCGTCATTCATTGAATCACGTAACACCAAGTTTGGTATATGTGGAGCTGGCAAAATGGCCACGAGCGAGGTTGAGGAGGCTGAGGATGTTGTAGGTAGTCGGCGGATCTAGCCTTGCATAATTTGCAGGCTATGGCCCCGCCCGGTTTTCTCTTTGCTAATTGTAGCTAATGTTCTTTGTTTTTTAACTAAGCGCGAACAGGCTTTTAAAATAAGAATCGTGCATAGCGTCACATAAGCCTGCATAAGACGGCGGCCTTGGTTCTATTCCACTTGCAGTATTGTGCCGGTACTCTATCTCGCTACACTGCACCCCTAGCGTAATTGTCACATATTAGCAGTCACATGCGAGGTCTATAGCAATCGAAAATTTCAAGAGAAGTCGTGACACCTGCTTTCTGAAGATCGAGGAACCGCGCGGAAACACAATATCAGTCACGCTGTCACATGGTGAGCCTAACTGTTGCAGTTCCTCAAGTAAACCTTGCCGTTCCTTCTTAAGCTCACGACATTTAGGCAAATAGTGTTCTATATCAGCGTTTTCCTTGAACTTCGAGCACCAGGGCGTCGCGGAGAGTCTGATCTTGTGAAGCCATGCTGGCGTACGCGCTGATCCCGTTCGGATGCGATGAAGCGAGCAGGCCTCTTCCCTTGATGTCCCTTTTGTCACACATGACTGGTGAGGCATGAGCCATAACGTGTGAAAATGCTTATTGACAGCCTCTCTTAAGATACGCTAATTGTCTTTGGGAGCCTTCTTTGTTGGTGTAAGCTCCAGATCACTCTGGGCAAGTCTGTCAGCTGCATCATTACCCGTTATACCCTTATGTGATGGAATCCATTGAAACTTAATGTTTATACCAATGCCATGCATGTCTTCAAGGATTCGCAGTGATTTTTGAGTGCATCGATTCAAAAGCAATCCATGTTTTAGCCGCTGCAAAGCGGGCTTACTGTCCGAAAACAGCACGACTTGTTGCTGCCTACAAATCTTCAGTTTCTTCAGGGCTGCCTGAATTACCATGTTTTCTCATGCTGTCGATGAAACAAAGCACCCGAGTCGCGCTGCCCAGGACGCCTTTAGAGACGGGATCACAAATGCTGCAGCGCTTGCTCCGCGCACTATGCCGACTGATCCATCAGTGAAAACTTTCAAATGATCTGCGTAATTTTCTTCAATATATTCAAATACCAAAGAACGTACTTCTGCTGTGGGTGTGGAACGCTTGCTGTGCATCCGTGGAATTGTCACCTGATAGTCGACATCCTTATATGACTAAGGTGGGTCTTGTTGAAGTTGTCTTTGTTTGAGGAAACCGATGATAAGATGGCGAAGGGTGTTGAGGGCCACGAAAGCTCGCGATTCCGTGCGTCGCCGAAGGCGACTGAGTAGTGCTCGTCCTGGGCTCGATTCGCCAAGTCGGCAAAGCTGTGTCAGCAGTCGTTGAGAGGCGAGAAGACGTAACGTCGGAAGACGAGCTTCATGAAGCATCTTTATGCTAGCTGCAAACTTTGGCACTCCTAAAGCAACTCTGAGGCCTTTACGATGAAGATTTTCCAGCCGTTCGTACTGTGACTTAATCGGAGAGATCAGAGGCAATTGTAAAAGCACACGGTTGACAATTACTGCCTTGTGTAACTTTATCATTGATGTTTAGTGGCTCCCCCAGCTTGTTCCTGCCATCCTTCGAAGAATGTTTACACGAGATTACAGCACTGATATTGTCTTGTCTACTACCTGTCGCCAATTCATCCTGGTGTCTAGTGTGACTCCAAGGAATCTCGTGTACTTAACTTGTTTAATTGACGCATCAGGAAGTAACATTTTCATCGTTGTTTCTCGTCTTCGCATACCTGGGAATAGCATGAATTGAGACTTTTCAGCTGATGTTGTTAGCCCAATAGATTCAAGATAGGTTTGTGCGGAGAGTAGAACTCTTTGGCCGATCATTTCCTATCGCTTATGCTGATATCCAGACAGCAAGATGCATATGTCGTCGGCATAAAGTGATATTTGTACTGCCTTACTCACAGTCTTGAGAGCATTAGGTAAACCATCCGTGGCCACATTGAACAACATTTGAGACAGAACACTGCCCTGTCACACTCCTCCGGTGATTTTCCTTGAGCTACTGAGCACTG